CCTCTATGATACACCAAAAGATTCGCTCCTATTCAATGGAGTCACAACATTACAAATTATGCAAGGATACCAATGTACATATTTCATTAACACTGAATACACGAGTATCTACCGCACCCAACTACGTGTGTACGTGTATGTAAGTACTCGTATTTTAATAGAATTCATTCGTTGTGAGATTGCGAATATTATGAATATAAGTGCATATGTGCTCACAGAAATGCATTAAAAGTGCACTCCACTAATGTATATAAATGGTATGTCGATGAATAGCATTATGGTGTGTACTGAAAGGATGGATGAGCACAGGTAGTAAACTTCTCTTTATGAATTTATATGAAAAGACTTGTAGAAATTCTTTCATTGCCATTCAGGTAACAAACAAAAATAATTTTTGAAATAGCAATCCTTTCATAAGCTTCGCTTTTCATAATGAAAGCATAACAAGTAAAACGAGCTCTAATACAAAAGAATTTACACGTTTTAATTGAATTTCACTTAAGTACGCTCTTTTCCCCTTCACAAACATACGAGTACGTACATATATTCATTGTTAGCAAAATATTCTTGAATAAAAGACAATAATTAATATTAAAAGTTCCTGTTGAATACAAAGAATGTGAAATTTCTAAAGATCTGGAACAAAGCCTGAGCATGTAACTTAGCAGAAAGCATCAAAGATTGTGTTCATATTTTGATTATTAAGTAAAAAACACACACACTAGAGTGCATTAAAATAAAACCAAAATGTTTCATGTTTACATTCTATAATAAAATGCATATTTGGTTTTAATTATAATTAATTTATAAACCATACCTCGTCTTTGTTATTACTTAACAAAAATTGTTATAAAATAGAATAACGTTATCTTTCCGAAATTTTAACGTTCTGTTGCCGAAATTTCAACATCCTGCACACATGTAATTTTTAAATAATAGTTAACAACTATTTACATATTTTATGTTTTACATCACAACTCTTATATTTAGATTTGTATTTTGACATAAACCTACACCCAGCTCATATAATCGTATCTCAGTCTTAAGGTTCAGTTAGTCGGTACATACCGTAAAAACTTAAGGGAACTTAAACGAATTCAAGCCAAAGTAAATGCACAACCAACCATACCTGTGTATTTGATGGAAACGAAATAAACAAAGTTCGCTGCCTGTATTCTTTGAACCGTTACATAAAATACCTTAGCTTATTGGCACCCGCTTGGCTTGAAATCAAGCCATAACTGAAAAAGCATACAAAGTGTTGCTTTCTCTCTCTCTCTCTCTTTCTCTCAGTCATGCAAGCCATCCTCTTTAATTGAACTCTTACCTCAACTAAGTGTGAGTTATTGTGATAAACTCAAACTTAACTTTACTCTGTTTCGGTAAAGGCTTAGAACTATGCTAAAAATGTCGTTGGCATTACATGAACTTATCGTTTAATTGTCCTACAGACTGCGAACACAACAAACTGACCGATTAATCTGAGGGTAGATTTCATGCAAGCATGAGGAAATCGATTTTTTCGCGACGTATCTGAATGGATAAGATAAAGAACGCTCACACCATATTACTGTAGTAACTTTGATTTAAAGAACACATGCATACAAGGTTCCTTTTTTAAAAAAAAAAAAGGATTTCGCGAAGAGATCCTGGCGCAACAAATTTTATTCCAAAGATTTGTGGTAAAACAAATAGCTGCATCTATTTAAAATGGAAAATATAGGAGAAATGCTATCGTAACAAATGTTATTCCAAATTTTATAGAATGAATGTTAAACTTACTCACGCGAAGCATGAACTGAGCAGAAGTGTCAGGACTCTGATTTTATTACAGATAGCAACTAAATAGGCTGACAAACGCTAAGGCTCCATTTTCATAAAAGCCTAGAGAAATAAATCTCAATGATTAAAATTTTTACCGGATTGAAGTCCCTGGCTAACAAATGCTATTCCAAAAATTTGCGATAGCGGTATCACGCGGAACATGGAAGAGAAACTGAGCAGAAGTATCAGTACTCCCTTTTTATAAATACTTATAGAAATAATTCTCAATGATTGAAAATTTTACCGGATTGAAGTCCATGGCTGACTTAGGCTAAATTAATTAAATTAATTACGCTTAATATATGTAAACAATTTTATATACTTATAGATTTGATCAGCTGGAATTTATAAAATTCCCCATGTTTCAAAACAGTGAAAATAGTTACTGACATTGAATATGTATGTGGAGAGATATATACTTTACTCCGTTTCAACTATTACTAGAATTCTAAGGTATCTTAGTTATTGAAAATCATACCCGAATTACTCGAAGTCGCACATAGATTCCGTCTATTATATGAAAGGTAGATGTAATCCGAAAGTAAAACAATGAGTAAATTTGGAACTCAAACTATTATTATTGAAGAGAAGAACTATCAATGATAGCATTTAATTCTGAACTATCCAGAAGATCACAAACATCTTGCTACTAAAAATTGAGACTTTTCTGCTTCAATCATAAATGTATTTTTATTCTTAAAAATAATAACAGTAACCATGAGTTTATTTGGTGTTAAGTGACCTTGATCAAATAGCGTTGAAATCTAATGATTCGACACTGCTGGACTTCGCTTTCAAGGACGATAACAGTAGCAAAATCCATACAACTAAACTCAATATAGTTACAAAAAACAAAAAACTAGAATCTATGGATTAATAATAAAAACTATGAACTAAGATACAAAATCATAGAAAAATATAACACTCCCATTGTGTCTTTTTAGTGCAGATTTGATATGCACTTCAGACTTGAGTCATTTACATAAAGAGAAACAGTTCAGTTGTTTTGTATCACCTTATATAACATAAGACAATTATAGTTGTTTTTTATATATAAGACAATTGATTTGAATTGTTTTTATTGAAGTTCGGGAACAATTCCTTGTGCTGTTAACATTTCCTTGTATTCCTACAAGATATGTATTCTATTATTTAATTTAGTTTAGGATGGAATAAAGGGGATCTTTTGCAGTATTTTAAATATGTACTTACATTTTATATATGTATATTAAATTTATGATCGCATTTGTTAATAAAAAGCCTATTTCCAGTCTTCTCGTTAACAAAGTAAGGAAATAATAATTAGAATTTAGAAAAACATAAAATTTTTGTGGTACTAGTAAGTTTTTCTTGCGTAAAATTTATGCAAATTTAGAAGACATAATAACTCTTTTTGTACGCATTTGGTGGTCTTATCTCCATGTTTCAATCTACTTCAGCCTAATTCAATGATTACACACTTAGGGATCATTTGGTTATGCGTAAGGTAGCAAAGAATTACAGTGTTTCTTTCAGACAAAGCGTTCGCACTACGAACGCTATACGTCTTCACTATAATTAATTTTCCTATTACGGAATATTATGTAAATTTGATTGTCATAATGGGATTTTTTAGATTTTGAATTTAATTTACACAATAGATTTCATTATGTCTGTTGAAAAATTAAGAAGCAACATAACAAAATACCTTTTCACACTTGAGACTCGAGGTAGTGGTGCGCATCTGATACATTCGCTCCCAGCGCTGAAGACTGAATTTCTAATTAATGTTCAACTGATGTATATCGCTCAGTCCGTCAGCCATTCGCTCTTATAGTACATGGTCAACTCTAAAACTGCAGACTTGTTTAACAAAAACTTGTACCAACTAATTAGTTTGACAAAAAGAAGTCATAAATTTACAGCATTAACCGAATAATGTTATTAACTTTTTCATAATGAAGCTTCCATCTTCAACACAAAGTTTAATAAAAGGTGTATATGGGAACTCAAATTAAACCTGTTGAAACATTCTTTTTGTATTTAAATAAATACAGAAATGAATATTTACATGCATTCGAGACATGATACAAATTTATTGACTGAGTAAACTCATTTCAATAATTAAATAATTCACTTTTTAAAGTATATGAACACTTATACTTTATGTCTTTATACTTAGAGTCTTCATTTTATTATTTAACGTTCTGTAGAGCTAATAAGTATTAGGTATTTGTTCTAAATATTACTTACACAAATCAACTCAATAGTTAACAATGATTACAATTTCTATATTCAAGATCTTGTTTGAAATATAATAAAAACCCTATTAAACGGACACTCATAATCCGCCCAATTTTTAATTGTCAAGAACGGTCCCCGTCCAAAAGCGGTTAACTTGTTTCACATAATGATTTAGGGATTAGGATTTAGATTAATTGTCTACGCAAAAAAAAAAATCTGTTTAAATAGGTTTCACTATATTTCGTAATACTTAAATAGATATAATTCAAGATCTATAGTCATTGAAAATTAAAAAATATTTTTGAATTATTCATTAAATTTATTTTGCATATAAATTTATTGTCACTTATATTCTAGTTAATTTTAATATAATAAATAAAAGTTTGGATATAAAATAATTTAAATATTAAAATACATATATTAATAATGAAACTTATTATTAATTAAATTATTTTTCAATTTCAGATTACTATAATGCATACATAAAAATGTTTACAAAATGTTTAATATATATAAAATGTTTATTATATATATATATATATATATAATGGAATTATTAATACCAATTTATGTATATATATTTATTGTTAATATATAATATAATATAATGTGTATCATTTTTATTTATTATGACTACTATAATTATTTAATATATTTAATTTTCAAAAGAATTTTTTACAAATTTTAATTATCTAAAAACAATTACTTTTAATTACTTTAATTGCTTCAATTACTTTAAAATAATTATTTTAATTATTGTAAATTAACTGAATCACTATTTAACTGAATTACTTATAATCTAAATATTTAAAATTATTTTTAATTTTATTAAAATTAATTATATGAAAAGAAAACAGATTTTAATATACATATAAATATAGTTTCTTTTAATTTTTTATGTGTAAATACTATCATTATTAAAACATAACCGTTTTTTGCTAATATTTATGTAGCTAGCTAACAAGTCTGAGAAACCCCTTTTCTAAACTATATATATCTGTAAAGTGATTTAAAAGTGATTTCTTACATTTTCTAAAAACAAGTTCGCATTTTACTCCAGAACGGCCTAAATGTTCAGCCTGATAATATTGATTATCGGCATACTCTGATAGCTTGTCCACGGATGTTGACGGCCTGTAGTTAAAAAATAATTTTAATTATAAAACAAATAAAAGTATGAACTTACGTTAATAAAATGTATAGCAACTCCCCAAATAAGCCATTTTTATAATGAAATGGAATTTCAGCTGCCTCACAGATACTCTTCAGTACACAATCTCGTCCAACAAGACCCAATCTAATAATTTAGATGACCCACATATGTATTAATTTATATGACCTACATAGAAATGTATGACTATGATACTTACCTTACAGCCAAACCTTCAAATGCTTTGTACACAGACCAACGATAACTTGTTAACACCTTTTTATGCAGAAACTCTTCACGGTTCTTGTTTGCCGCGCTAAATTCTTCGTCATTTATCAAAAATTGTTCAAAATCAGGTGCATTGCGTCTTCTTCGCCCAGCTATATTGAGATGAGTCTTTGTGCGTAACTGTGACGCATTCGATGGCAAAAAGTATTCAGCTTTTAGTACGTAACCTGTGGTCATTGCTTCAAATACCAGCTCCTCCAAAGGTATACCAATACCAATAATCCACTACAAAAGTCAGTCCAAAACATATATAATTTAAGAAGATATCTGATAATGGCAGTGCTTAGTTTACCTGCACTCGCGTTGGCGCTGTGGGTGGAAACACTATAGGCAACGCACGTTCTCGTCGTTTTCCGATGTAATTTTCACTTTTGTCACTTGTCACTGTTATTGTCATTTTCAAAGATGCAAATATAAATGCAATAAATATACAAAAATAAATAAAATTCATGTTCTTTTGGTATACGGCAATTCAAATTTTTATAAAATATTTCTTGTTGGCACCAATTTTTAGTAAAACAGTCTACGAAGTTACCGCAGTCATGTCTCTTCTAAGACTAAAGCGTTTCTTACTTCATAGACAATACAATTAGTATGTAATTCTTTAACTGTTTAAGTATCTAAACACATTTCTTTTACTCTTGCAATAAATCAACTTCTTTGCTGAATGGTTGATGCCCATATCTAAAACAAAGTTTCTTGTCTTCAGAAGAAAAGAAACCCATGAAACACGTTCTATCAATTAACACTCCACAGTTCAGTTATTACCTGCTTACTAAAATTTTCACTCTTATCTTAACTAAATGTAACTAGTTTAAAAAATATTAAAAATTCCTAACAAAATTCATTGAAGAGTTTGCATCATAAAACTAGAAAATTTCGTTGTAGTTAGGAATTTTTTAATTAACAAAATATAAATTTAGATATGATCTGATAGCTGACCGCGAAATGCATTGAAGATTTCATTGCAGATCAGCGTCTTTAGTTGCAAGAAGTCGTGCGAGAAGTCATGTCAGAACGCCCTAAAGATAGGAAGATTGCATTATTTTCAAGTTTTTTGATTCTTTTCCTGTTGTCCATTCAATTCTCATATTGCACAGTTCTTTACACGCGGGGTAGCAATTATGGAGTAATATTTATACACAATATATCTGTAATATTTTCAAATCTTTATTTTGATCTGACAGTTATTGGCAGCGTTGGCGATTCCTTTGGATTTGCCGAACAGGAACATATACGTAGCATATAATTTCGAGGCTAACTATGGACTTCCGACAAACGATTCCTACAATGAATGGATAGATAGAGTAAGCAAATGATTTGCAATACTTCTTCCTTAAGCTTCCTTGAGGAAGCCCTTCCTGAAAATAATTGAACGCACAATATCTAGTGCATCTACTTGCCTTTATAAGCATATTAATTGACAAAATGTGTTTAATTATCATTGAGCTGTTCACACCTGACTTAATACAATGTTTGTATTATTTTAAAAGTACTGTATGATGTACCTACATGTCATATTAAATCTTTTAAACTTTTGACTTTAAATGATTTCAATCTCTTTTCAGTGGAATTTAAGTGAAAACTTTGTTGGTATCGGAAACAATGTAACTTCAATTAATGGAAGAATGGCTAAACACTCACGATACACGCGCAGCTCATTCTATCGCAGCATTGTTGGCTATCTGGAATTGTTTCAAATGAATGGCACAGCATGTCTATTGAGAACCATTTGCGAGGTGGCTGAATCAAATTTGGATGAACACAACGGACTGTTAGGAAGCATTTTTAAAATTTTATTCATGTAATTATACTTGTGTGATAAAAATGTTTGTTTAGCCCTAACAATTACGCATTTGGGAAATATTTTAATACAAAATTTTATAGGCCAACAACATCAGAATTTGAAAACACAATTGAACAAGGCGAAAACCTTTATAAAGCTGAGCAACATGGAAGAAGTGGAAAATGTGTGCAATATGCAAAGTGGTGTCCTACAGGACTCATTAATTTGATATCGGCATGGACCTAAATTTAATTTCCACACATGCATAATTTTTACTTCCTTTCCCAACAAAAAAATCGGTTTATTATTATTTATTTATGTATATTTCTCCAATATTATTATTTTTATTTTTTTCCTTTTTTGTTGAGTTTATGGGCAAATAAAAATCAAAGAAGGCGTAATTCTATCACCAATGTTCTCTGTTCTTAAAGCGGCACTAAAGGCACTTTAAGTATCACAAATATAAACAAACTTTCTATTGTGCGCAAAAATCAAATTATTTGTGGTAAGAACTCAACTGATTGTTCCAAGACAGAAAAAACCATCCCTAAATGCGAACGAAAATCATAATAAACAAAGCAATTTGAACAAAGCGAACGAAAAAATGTAGTTCGGAATTGAATCTATGGAATAAAGCGGAAAGAGCGATCACTAAGCTGCCAAACCGAACATCAAACCTTAACTGAAATACATTTGTGAACCTCATTCGTGTTCTCTGTGTCTACGAATTAGTCCAGAAGTCTTAAACTTCGAAACATTCGCATTAAACTTCCTTGTGCTGTCTTGCGTATGAAACTATTGAAAGACTCTCCATTCAAATGAAGATGACATGAAGGATTATGGTCGTGGCATTGTTTGCGCTCCGATGAAAGGCGTTCTAAGAGCGTTAAACAAAACCAATCCAAAATGTGAAATAATTTTCAATTAAATAAGCAAACCCGACAAAGAATAAAAGAAGTACGACATTTCCTTTTCACTTGAATATAAAAAACCAAAAAAAAATTTTAAGAATTTAATCACATTTTTTTTGCAAAAAATAATATAATATAGCAAATTTTTTTTTATAAATTAGATAAATTTCATTTTTATTTGAGAAACTACTATGCTTTACTAATTATTAGCTTATTTACTTCTAATAAGCTTCATATTTTTTAAATGTAATAGTTTTAATGATGTTGAGTCTTTGGCAATACTCCAAACAGCATTGTATGTTCAGCCAAATTTCAATAAATTAATCATATATTTGTTGTTCTTGTTTCTTCATTACTGTTCGAACATTTCTAGTTTTCTTTACGTTATAAGACGCGTCACATTCGACAATTTACTGTAAGTATTGCAACATTATATTTAGGAATATGCTATCTATATTGATTTTTGAACAATGCAAAAGTTTTAAAATTAAATACAAATATTATTTTAATAATCTATTCAATATCTCCAAAATATGTATTAAGTTACTTTGAGGTACAATGTTATAAAAAGCATGAAGTAGTTATTTGAATGTTTAGAATTATCTTAAAGTTTCAAAAACACATGATTAAATATAATAATGTTGTAGAATAATGACGTTTGGATGGTTACATGATTGGAGAGCCTAATCAGCAGATATTGTACGTCTTTCCATTATTAGAATTTTTTCCATTTCCATTTTTCCATTTCTCACTAGAACCCTATGGATATAAAAGCTAAATTCATTTTGTTTAAGAGGCCTTTGATTCTTACCGCTGAATAGTTTAAGGAACTATCAAAGATGTATTTCTTAAAAATCTATTTCATAACATATGAGTCATACCTAAGCAGTTGCAAAGAAAATGGTTAATTGTTTCTTTTTTTCTAAAGAGTCCTAATCTGCTACAATGATAGTTAGAATCTAAAATATCCCTGCGTAGGTTGTTAGGCACCAATGACCAGAAAAAATAGAATTTGTCTCCAATCATACAAGCTCTTCCAAACAGCGAAACACGAGCAATACATAAGATGATATTACTCCTTCCATTATAAATTTACTTAAAACTTTCATTTTGCTTGTAATATATTTTGAATCCATATATTTATATGTGGTGTAAACACTTTTATATTCTGTGTCCTGTTATATTCACGATTTTATATTCAATACATCAAATTAAAGTCTATTACAAATGTTCAGTACTTCTATTTTTGTTAAAGAAATAATTCATAGAATTTTCATGCAATTTCCAAAACTAAGAATAGTTATAAAGATGTTTTTATTAGAACATCCTTAAGATACTTTAAAGTATTTATTGAAATGAATACAAAAACCGTAATTATATATTACCCTTATGGTTTAGCCGTAATGTTACCAAATATCTAGTACTTGCCAAAAACTTAGGTTTTGCAAATGACTTAATCGGATTACTTGCGGGATTAAATTGGATTAGGATGCATACCTTATCAGTTTTAAAAGAATAAAACAACTTTATTTGCAGGAAAACTACACGTCAAAGCAAACACGCAAATTGCGGCATTTTCAAAAGTAAATTTTTGATAATATGACCCATTGTATTCATATTTTGGATACGACAGGACAGGGCAAGCGTTTCCATATTTACTACATTAAGCTAATATGAATATATCAAAGCACTTTAGTACCTGCTGTGCTTAAGATTTCATAGAAACGTTACAGTTATCCATCTTGCTTTCGTCATCAATCATTTTATCATCGCACTTAATAATAACTTTAACATTTTTGCGACTTTTATGAGTTTTTCACTTGCAACTCAATTTAGTCAAATCTGATTTACGTCATCTACGGTCTTTATTAGCCATCGATCAAAAGTTTTAATTTACTTGCAAGGAAAGCAAGTGACGGAAATAATTAACGGATATGTAGTGCAATCTTTTTCTAAAGGATATTTAAAAAACTCAAGTTTATCACAGTATACAGTATAGTTGTTTTACTTTACTTTAACGAAGGCAGGTGTGTTAGCTAATAACTACTTTAAAGTTTTTTTTTAATGTTTTTAATACAAAAAAAATCGATACACAGCACACAGTAGAACAAATTGATTTGTAATTAGTTTCAGTTCACCACAAACATAATTTATGCGTTAACAAATAATTAAAAGCATCCCACAGACATGTAAGTACAGTTAATGTCACATGCTTCCACTGCACGACAGAATGAATTCCATAAAACCATATGGGGACACAAGCTATGTATCAGATTTCAGCAACGCACATATCCACATCCATACATCCATGTCACAAAGGATACTAATTTCTACTACAAAAACTATGTTGAAACTGCTGCTGCACATGGTACTCCACATATTTTGCATTTTCAGGATTATTAATATTAGAATTTCAGAAAAACACTAGAAACACTAAAAACAGCCTTAGTGATAATATGTGACATGTGTTAACTTATGCTGCAACCAGTGCATTTCCTACTGAACCACAAATCATCAGATACAACATAGAGGGCGGTTGATGTTCTGTCAATAAATAACTAATTATGAACAGAAACATATTATGGACTTCGAAAAGCATTTGAGAAACCTTCAACAGTGCAAACTAATTACAAGCATACTCTTCTGCTACATATGCATACCTAAGATATATAAGTTAATTTATATTTACATATAAATTAATATTTCTGTTTAAAAAAATCTGTTCGTAAGTAAAAACTAATTTATTAATATTTTCTTTTTTATTACTTTTCATTAAATCATGTTTTTTAATCATAGAAATGTGTTTTACACATAAAAAAAGTCTGGTCTATTGTACTCGTATTAATAAATCAAAAAGCTTCCAAAGCAACGACTAATATTATAAATAAGGAACAATGCGACTACATTCGGTGGATGTGTCAAATACTCGTATGTTCGCTACGAATATGTCACTCCCAACACATCCTATGAGATTCGAAAGGAGCAAGTTACATAAAACATATAACGGCTCAACCCATATTATCGTCACAGTATTTGTAGAACAACATTTTGTATAAAATGAACTAATTACGCCACTGATAACGCCAAAGCCACACGAGATAATAATCCAGAAAATTTATCAACATTGCTCACGCAACGCCAAACAACGACAAAACGAAAACAAACAATGGATTTGTGTCTCCTATGCGTTGTTGAAGCACGCCAAAGCTGCGAACAAGCTCATCATAACACATCGGCGGACAGACATGGGAATGCGTTCGGTCTGCTCCACCCGACGTATGGGGATCAGGATAAGCGGCTATAATAAATGTAATTACGTACGCCCAAAAATTCCGCTCCATTTCCGTCGCTCACAATATAAGAAGTATATTTGCTTGGAAGGATACATAATTTCTAACGAAGTAGAAGAAAAAAGTTTAACACTTCGAAATTTGTTTTCTTCAAATTTCATTCACACGACAAACGTTACACGTGTAAATATTACTTCACTACAACAGCAACTGCAATAAAGGTACTAACTATCAGTGGATACCTACATTCCATTAACCACAGGAAGCTAGCACCCATTTTTAAAATTGCTTTTAAATACCCAAACATTTGTTGATTTAGCTGAAGAATATACTAAGCCAAGGAATTTATAACCACAAAATGGGTGAAAGTGCAAACATGTCTCATCCAAAGAAGTATACAGAAAGCCTTGATAATAATAGGGAGGCATATATTGCAGAGGCATCAATTACATCTTAGGTATTTTATCGTTAACATTTTTTGATTTTATGATACGACAAACAGCAAAGTTATTTCGGAACTAAACTTTATTGATATAATTTTTTTCTCTTGAATACCTTATTAGATGGCAGAAATAATCATGTTAAAATCAATCAATACCCTATATGTGTACTGATACCTGATAGACATCATATGTACATACAATTCCGTTTCAATAGAAAATTTCAAATTCTCATTTCCGAAAAGGGGATAAGGGGAAATAGCAATTCTTGATCGAAACTGAGCTTTGTTTCTACCATACTAGTAAAACCAAAACCAACCATGGACTTGATATAGAAAATGAAGTATCTTATTTGCCCTGGCGGCTTGTTCACTATATTTCAAGAAGAAGCCTTGCACTTGTAATAATCTCTTTAAAAGTTTCGAGGAAATTACATTTGTATCTGTATTGATAGTCAAACTAGAATCCAAGCATTATATTCTTGATGATTCTATCTTATTGTATGCGGTGTATTATTATAATCTACAGTTTAAACTGTAAAGTGTTTTGTTAAATACTTAGTCACTCTGTAATTACTGATAACAAATGTACAGACGCATTAAACTTGCAAGAATTAATATATATGTTTAGTATATAATTATG